ATTCAACAAATAACAGAGGAAGTAAATAGACATTTATTTTATTTATAAACAATGAACAGGTTGCGCGGAAGGAACGATCATTTAAGTGTGCGGTTTTTAATTGCAACCGTTTTTAAACAGAATTTGAAGCAGTAAATATGCAGAGAAGAGATATCCTATACATTCACCTACGTAAAGCAATTTACACAACATGGTGTTAACACCCAACAAGTTCGGTGTAACCGCTCGGAAGATTGTGAACACAAAACGAATCGATGTAGCTAGCGCCCATGGCAAAGAGAGCATCTGCGTTACCGTTCCAGGGGTACGGGAAACCTAGTTAATTAGTCTAATTAGTTTAGGTTTACTTAACACCAACAACTTCTGATTAAGATCATGCGAGAGAAGTTCGAAGAAAATAACTGGGTCAGTTGTGGACTTGGTTGAAAGCGGATATTACGATTTCATTTTGACCTTTGTTATGATGAAAGTAGTAGTTCGAATAGGCACGATTCACGGATCACGAATCGTAGTCGTATATGAAGCTCGGAATCGCACTAGCAGTTGTATACAGGACTTTCCCATCAGCAAGATGCAAGTAAAAGACCATAGAAGTTGCTGTTGGACTACTGAAGAAAGTCATAGGGATAGAATAAAATATAAAAAGGACTGTCATCGGTTAAATCGATCTTCATCAATAGCCTCCTTGTATTCCTGACATCACGACGAGACTGCATCTTGACGTGGTGTGATGGCTTGTGCACCTTACTGACCCAACGAGCTACACAGGATGGCTTTCGTCAAGCAAGGAGATCTAATCATGACTGGAAAGCCTATGGTTAGAGGTCAGACAAAGTCCAGTCTCCTGGTTCTCCAGGTTGGGGGTTCGACTTGAGTCGGCGTCTCAGTCGATAAAACGTGTTGGAGGAATAATTGATCCAAGTAAATGGGCCTTCACTCCGCTTCAACCGCTGCCTTACGGTTAGGTTCTTGTCAGAACTAAAGGTTTTGGTTGAGAACCCTAATCGTTCTCCTGTTTAGTGGCTGGACACCCTAGCCGTACCCGTCCACCCAACCCAATGCATACGCAAACTGAAAATAATTTCATACTGTATCTGTCTTCGCACAGGATAATCAGGACCGCGCTGCCCATTGCATCGAGCGGGGTGGGTAGTGATAAGTGGGCTACTGCTCAGATATCCCAACCTTTGTTTAACTCTTTGTCTCACGTACCCAACCCTATCCCTTTACCCTTTCTTCCGACCTGTAATAGTCCCTCAAGCAATTTGGATGTCGCCCGATTTGGTCGTTGCCAAATAACACTAAGTAATGTACCATGAAATCGAATGCAGATTCTGAAGCCTCGTCAATCACTTAATCTGGGGGCCTTCAACGTGAGGAATTTGAGGCAGCTAGGTGACAAGCTTGTTTGACTAGTACAATGGAATTTTTAGGAAACAATATTTTCTGCGTGTCGGAGACTCGAATCCAGGATCCTACTCCTATAAGCCACTTGATCGAGCCAGATTTGTTGTCGAGATACGTTCTCTGCGCATCAGGCGCCGATGAAGCGCGTTCAGTAGGCCAGTGCGGGGTAGGTATTGTACTCAGCAATAGGGCGGAGTCCTCTCTTATCGATTGGATTCCCCCTCAATAGTCGTTTATGTGCAGTTTGTCTCCAGGGTTCACTCAGTGTCCGGAAGGGAAGCAACTCCAAAATGTGTTTGTTCGTCATATCAGCAAATGCACCGACTAATTACGGTTCTGGCACACAAAAGGACGCTTTCCACGATTAAATCACCGATCTCATTCAGATGAATGGAAGCTTCGACATGGTTGTACTGGCAGGTGACTTTAACGCGCAGGTTGGAAAACTGAGCGCATCAGAAGCCTGCCTAAGTGGTAGTTGTGCTTTGAAGTGCCAACGCACAGATAACGGCGATCTACTTCTTCAGGTCTGCGCAGACCATCATCTGTTCCTATACAGTATCAACTTCTGACATAGCCCTCGACGGACGGCAGCTTGGTGCTCCAGTTCAACTGGTACACTTACTCAGATCGATCACATAGCAGTAAGTTGGCGTGGCGTGGCGCAGTGCAAAAATGCAAGTTTTATTGGACCTGCGTTGAGTTTGACCACGCATTAGTTTTGATACAATTCACTCTCCGACTGACAAAACCAGCAAACTCGTATAACTCACCATCGAGCATCTGTTCCGGCAGTTCGTGCACTCCGAGTCAGAGCTAATGAGTGAGCTAAGTGCGCCTCAACGTGATGATGTGATGCAGTGGGATCAGATTGGGCGGGCAATGCATTCCGCAGCGAATTTTACTTGTGGGACTGAGCCCCATGCCCGATGGAGGCATTGGATATCTGATGAGTCCGTAGCACTGATGGATCAAAAACGACAAATACCGACCTGCCAGGATCAAAACAAAGTTAGGTGGCTTCTGCAACGTTGGCTCACGAAGAGCCTCAAGAAGGACCGTGAGAACTGGTGGGCAACAATAACTAGTGAAATGGAAGTAGCAGTCGCATCAGGGAATAGTCAAAGACTGTTCCGACTTATACACAATACGGGAGGTCGGCGAACCCCAGTTAGTGAAACAGTCAGCGATAAGAGTGGACAAGCTATTCACAATAGACACCAACGACTTGATCGTTGGGCGGAATACTTCAGCGAACAGTTCAACTTGCCTACCACTTTACATGTCACTTCATCTGCAATTGAAGCTCCGTTGGCAGTGTCACGCGATCCTCCAACAGAAGCAGAAGTTTGTTCCTGCATCCAAGCTCTGAAGCAAGGAAAGGTAGTAGGTCCGGATTAGCTCCCTCCCACTCTCTTCAAGATGTGTGGTGATAACCTCGTAAGCTCCATTACTACCGTACTACGCAATATTTAGGCGCAAGAACACATTCCTTCATCTTGAGGCGAGAATTACCGATTGTTCCCATTCTCAAGAAAGGATCTCGCAAGCATTGTGGAAACCACGGCGGGATAAGTTTGATCCCGATCGTCACCAAAGTGCTTACTTCCGTCATACTTCGGCGTCTGACTCCTTTAAGAGGGATCAACATCCGTGAACAGAAAGCCGGGTTCCGACCTGACCGTGGATGTATTGATCAAAGTTTCACGTTGTGGCAGGTTCTTGAGCTGCATCACAAGCACCGTGGCTAAAAATCGCAGTGTTTCTTGACCTGAAAGGGGCGTTCGACTCAGTTGACCGCAAAGCTCTGATAGGTTCCCTTCTTCAAAAAGGAATGCCCAGAATTACGTTAACTTACTGAGGTCACTGTACTCACATGCCTCTGGTCGAGTGAGGGTTTACAACGAACTGAGAAGGCCGTTCGTCAAGAACAGCGGCAGTCGTCAAGGATGCCCTCTTCAGCCGTTCCTGTTCACCTTCGTCGTACACGACATACTGGAGGACGAACTTAGAGGTTTCCAGAACGTAGCAATTGAATGGACAGCCGGAGAAAAACTGTGCGATTCAGAGTACGCCGATGACATCGTCTATCTGTTAGAATGTATGGAAGACGCGCAAAGCGCACTTGATAGACTAACAAGTACCGTTGCCACATTCGCTATGTGCTTCGCATCTTCAAAGTGCAAGTTGATGTTGCAAGACTGGGCGTCGCCTACGCCCGCTCTGAAGCTAAGCGGCCAGGAATTAATTAAAGTGAATCACTTTTCCTACTTAGCTAGTTGCGTGGCCAATGACGGAATCGCAGCAAAAGATATAACCGCCAAGGCTCGAGCAGCATACGCAGGTCTGAAACACCTTTGGCGTAGGCGCGACGTTTCACGGAAGTTGAAAGGTCGTTTATATTGTGCTAGCGTTAGTTCAGTTATGGTTGAGAGACCTTGAATTTACGAATAGAAGATATCCATCGGCTAGAGGTTTTCGACTATTGGAGTTTACGGAGTTTAACCCACGTGGGATGGAGCGAGAGGGTTAGTAACCTGGAGGTAAGCTGTCGTGTGTTTGGAAGTCTGTCAAGCATAAACTTCCTAGCTCATCGAATTCAGATTAGTAAGCTTCGCTAGCTAGGGCACGTATTGCGTATACGCAGCTACCGTCTACGGCATCGCGCCTGATTTGCTGTAGCCGCTCCGGACTGGAGGAGGCCAACAGATGACGTGGAAACGAGGCATGAAGAAATGCACAGAGCCATTAGGTAGAGCAGGTGTTACGCGCCTTCCAGGTTAGAG